TTCATGTTTTTCTTGAAGTGCACCGGCAACATGAACAATTTGTTGGGATCTTTCAGCTAGCAACTTCTTAAGGTGCTCAATCTGTCCCTGACTATTCACAACTTCCCGCTGGGCATTTTGGACCACCCTGGAGGATTCTTCCTGGGATTGGGTTACCCGCACGGTTGCTTCATCAAGGGACTGCCTAATCCTATCACTGGCTTCAGCTTCTATGGCTTGGACCTGCGACTGGAATTGATTTTCTAAGGCATTTATTTGTGACTGAGCTTGGGCTTTCGCAACACAGGCATATTGCATAGCTTGGGAATTGGCATTAGCTTCAGCGGTCTTAGCAAATTGAAGGGCCTGACTCTTGGCTTTGGCTTCAAATTGAAGGGCCTCATTTCTGGCATTAGCTTCAAACTGAAGCGCCTGATTCATGGCGTTTACTTCAAATTGGGACACATACTGAAGGGCCTGATCCCTAGCATCAGCAACCATTTGGTGAGCCTGAGCTACAACCAATGAGCTAGCATCCAACAAATTGACTACCCTGGCATTTGTGAATTGCAAAGTCTGATTGTCTTGGACAGTGACATTACGTGCATCGATATTATGGACTGCTTGGTGATACTCATAGCTGTGCATGACTGTTGGTTGTCCCTTAGGGATGGATAGACCCGATGACGATGTTTCTGTTGACATACTCGAGTCTTGGATTGGGGTAGAAACAGCTTGGGCCAATGGTACACGCCCTGGTGACCCTTCATCTGCCAAATGCTCCATGTTTCTGACGCCTGGGCAAATGATCGAGCTTCAATGCTTGGCAATTGATCAGGGGCGTAGGAATTCTCCCAAACAAGCCTGAACAGAGTGATCAGCAAAAAATTTGGCCTGCACGTACTCGTCGCAGCCCTCAGATTGCCTCTTCCTCTTCAACTTGATATGGACTCCCTTAACCTCTTCTGGATCAAATGTTTGCCGCAAATGCTCAATGATCTCTACCTTATCGTCCACAAGAATTGCTGTTTCGCGATCTCCTCGACGGTCTCCGAGCGAATCAAGAAACGTCTGGATCACTGCAACCTTGACAAGTGGCTCACGTGTAAAGATTATCCCTGAAATTAAATCCTGGGCTTCAGCACGGTTCCACTGTTGAACGACTGACTCCAATCTTTCGTCTGAATGTACGTAACTCAGAACAAAAATCCACCTCTGCTCGCCTGAATCCTCTTTCAAGTGACGAAGCACCTCAAGGTTCTGCGGAGGGATTCTTCCTGTAGTCAATGCACACTCTTCCCAATGTCTGTCTAGGACCTGATGATGATCCACAAACAAAAACTTGGCTTCGGATACCTGAACGTGAGATAGGGCAATTCGGCCTTGGGGCCTAGTAAGTAAAAAATCACCGCCGTCTGTTGAGATGTATGTACTGACGGATTCCGGTAACAATACCACTATGTCCTCTCCCCTCGCTGCTGTGGCTACCCGATCTGCTTCAGCCAATTGCGCCTGCACTTTTGTGTCGACTTGCACCCTCGATCGTGCCAAAAAGTTGAACGTTTCCAATGCTGAAAATGAACTAGTCGACAAGTGTGGATGGGTAGGAGACAGATATCCGAGTCGTACACCTTCTCGGATAAACGCAATCTTTTGCGCGTTGCCCCTTTTACCTCCCCTTGGAAACCACAGTAAAGAGTGCAATTCCTCGTACTCCGGGTGCTCGGGATCGGCAGGTTCAGATGTTGCTGCGTCCCGAGCACCCGAAGAAGAAGCAGATGCTATGGCTGCCGCGAAGAAAGCCTTACGGCTGATAACCAAGAGAAACGAGCTTCGGGCAGCAGTCCTGTTTCTTGAGCCAAAGCGACAAGTAAGACAACAAATTGAGTTGTCAAGTGACCTGCAAACTGGATTCCCGGCTTAAACCCTTTAGGTAAGCTCATGCATTTAGGAATTCCAGTCAAACTTCGGATGTTTGTGAAACCAACTACGGGACCCTATCCTGGTGAGCCATGTGCTACTACCAGCTGCATAAGTGAAGTCATATTTGGGCATCCATTTTGGGATTGTTTCGGGCATCCATTTTGGGATTGTTTCACCCGCATCCATTCTTCTATAAATAGGGAAATAAATAGGGAAATAAAAAGGGAAATCAATAGGGCAATAAATAGGGAAATAAATAGGGAAATAAATAGGGAAATAAATAGGGAAATAAATAGGGAAATAAATAAGGAAATAAAAAGGGAAATAAATAGGGAAATAAATAGGGAAATAAATAGGGAAATAAATAGGGAAATAAAAAGGGAAATAAATAGGGAAATAAAAAGGGAAATAAAAAGGTAAATAAATAGGGAAATAAAAAGGGAAATAAATAGGGAAATAAATACGGAAATAAATAGGGAAATAAATAGGGAAATAAATAGGGAAATAAAAAGGGAAATACATAGGGAAATAAATAGGGAAATAAAAAGGGACATAAATAGGGAAATAAATAGGGAAATAAATAGGGAAATAAAAAGGGAAATAAATAGGGAAATAAATAGGGGAATAAAAAGGGAAATAAAAAGGGAAATAAATAGGGAAATAAAAAGGGACATAAATAGGGAAATAAATAGGGAAATAAATAGGGAAATAAAAAGGGAAATCAATAGGGAAATAAATAGGGAAATAAATAGGGAAATAAATAGGGAAATAAATAGGGAAATAAAAAGGGAAATAAATAGGGAAATAAATAGGGAAATAAATAGGGAAATAAATAGGGAAATAAAAAGGGGAAGAAATAGGGAAATAAATAGGTAAATAAATAGGGAAATAAATAGGGAAATAAATAGGGAAATAAATAGGGAAATAAATAAGGAAATAAAAAGGGAAATAAATAGGGAAATAAATAGGGAAATAAGGAAAAAAATAGGGAAATAAATAGGGACATAAATAGGGAAATAAATAGGGAAATAAATCGGGAAATAAATCGGGAAATAAATAGGGAAATAAATAGGGAAATAAATAGGGAAATCAATAGGGAAATAAATAGGGAAATAAATAGGGAAATAAATAGGGAAATAAATAGGGAAATAAATAGGGAAATAAATAGGGAAATAAATAGGGAAAAAACTAGGGAAATAAATAGGGAAATAAATAGGGAAATAAATAGGGAAATAAATAGGGAAATAAATAGGCAAATAAATAGGGAAATAAATAGAGAATTAAAAAAGGAAATAAATAGGGAAATATAAATAGGGAAATAAATAGGGAAATAAATAGGGAAATAAATAGGGAAATAAATAGGGAAATAAATAGGGAAATAAATAGGGAACTAAATAGGGAAATAAATAGGGAAATAAATAGGGAAATAAATAGGGAAATAAATAGGGAAAAAACTAGGGAAATAAATAGGGAAATAAATAGGGAAATAAATAGGGAAATAAATAGGGAAATAAATAGGGAAATAAATAGGGAAATAAATAGGGAAATAAATAGGGAAATAATTGGGAAATAAATAGGGAAATAAAATAGGGAAATAAATAGGGAAATAAAATAGGGAAATAAAATAGGGAAATAAATAGGGAAATAAATAGGGAAATAAATAGGGAAATAAATAGGGAAATAAATAGGGAAATAAATAGGAAAATAAATAGGGAAATAAATAGGGAAATAAATAGGCAAATAAATAGGGAAATAAATAGGGAAATAAATAGGGACATAAATAGGGAAATAAATAGGGAAATAAATAGGGAAATAAATAGGGAAATAAATAGGGAAATAAATAGGGAAATACACAGGGAAATAAATAGGGAAATAAATAGGGAAATAAATAGGGAAATAAATAGGGAAATAAATAGGGAAATAAATCGGGAAATAAATCGGGAAATAAATCGGGAAATAAATAGGGTAATAAATAGGGGAATAAATAGGGAAATAAAAAGGGAAATAAATCGGGAAATAATAAATAGGGAAATAAATAGGGAAATAAATAGGGAAATAAATAGGGAAATAAATAGGGAAATAAATAGGGAAATAAATAGGGAAATAAATAGAGAAATAAATAGGGAAATAAATAGGGAAATAAATAGGGAAATAAATAGGGAAATAAATAGGGAAATAAATAGGGAAATAAATAGGGAAATAAATAGGGAAATAAATCGGGAAATAAATAGGGAAATAAATAGGGAAATAAATAGGGGAATTAATAGGGAAATAAATCGGGAAATAAATAGGGAAATAAATATGGAAATAAATAGGGAAATAAATAGGGAAATAAATGGGTTTGGTGGACTGATTCATGCAGCTCCCCTGTAAACTTGTGACTGCCGTGTGCTCCCTCTTTTTCCTTTGGGTCATGCACAGGCTTATAGAGTATAGCATCGGTGAACGAGGTTTCCATTGATTCCCAGGGGAATACATAGGAATTAAATAGGGAAATAAATAGGAAAATAAATAGGGAAATAAATAGGGAAATAAATAGGGAAATAAATAGGGAAATAATAGGGAAATAAATAGGGAAATACATAGGGAAATAAATAGGGAAATAAATACGGAAATAAATAGGGAAATAAATAGGGAAATAAATAGGGAAATCAATAGGGAAATAAATAGGGAAATAAATAGGGAAATAAATAGGGAAATAAATAGGGAAATAAATAGGGAAATAAATAGGGAAATAAATAGGGAATAAATAGGGAAATAAATAGGGAAATAAATAGGGAAATAAATAGGGAAATAAATAGGGAAATAAATAGGGAAATAAATAGGGAAATAAATAGGGAAATAAATAGGGAAATAAAAAGGGAAAGAAAAAGGGGAAGAAATAGGGAAATAAATAGGGAAATAAATAGGGAAATAAATAGGGAAATAAATAGGGAAATAAATAGGGAAATAAATAGGGAAATAAATAGGGAAATAAAGAGGGAAATAAATAGGGAAATAAATAAGGAAATAAATAGGGAAATAAATAGGGAAATAAATAGGGAAAAACTACAAGATCCAGCATATTTAAATTTACAATAGCAACTCAGATCCCCCCACTATGAGGTGCGTAGGGATGCATCGCGAAGCGGCACCTTGCAGGCGGAGCCAACGTCCACCTCGTGGCAGTCCGATAGATCGTACCTGGCTGGCTTTGTCCGCCATATGGGGAATGCCTCAAAACGATATGTCCGAAGAACACATGGTTAAGCATATGGTGAAAGATGTGGTTTCCAAAAACCCTGGTTAAACATATTTCACCATATTTGTTTACCATATTTTGGAAACCACATCTTTCACCCACTCATAACATGGCCAATTCTGTCCAAAATGACAGCCCATGGCGCACATGCAGTGCTCCGGAATCACATCTTGGGCTCTGGGGAGCCACGGTACAACAGCAGAAGGATTGGCCGCAGCAAACTCGGCCTCTGCCTGGGGGATGCCAGGGATACCATCCATGATAAGAATGAGCAAATCCTGCAAAAAATCAACCTAACATATCCTAACATGAGATTGACCCTATACCAAACCACTATATATTCTTTTCCCAGCCTGGAAAGGAAGAGGCTCATCAGTGCTGTTGTCCATTGGTAAGGCCATATGCCGAGACAATCTGGGCGCAATGCCTGCCATGGTCAGGCATGGTCAGGTGGAATCAGTGAACCGTTTCAAACATTTCCCAAATCCTCAGGTGGAATTCACATCGTCATTGTCCTGAAATGTCCTGAATTTCTGGTTTTCGGCCTAGGTTTCTATAGGTTTCTGAACTTCGGCCAACAGATCCCTAGGGCCCCCAGACATGGCTTGATCTGATCGCAACCGAAGAGTGTCACTTCGTCGAAACATTCGCTGCCCATCCTTTGTTCGCACAGGACACGGAAAATCAGTGGATCTTTTTGTTGGGAAAACCATTGAAAATCAGTGGGAAAATCAACCTTTTCACCCTCTTAATTGATACAATGATGTCCTTCTGCGTCAAGTTCCCCGTCAAATTTGGTATAGAAACTGACCATCACTTAGATGTTGAACAAATCCTAAAGTATCCTGAGAAAAATCTGAAAAATGGGACAATCAGTTCATAGTTAGTTACCTCCATTGGTTGGAAAATCACGAGACAAGCATCCGACACTCCAATAAAGGCGATCCCAACCAACCATCATCGCATTTGAAGGGACCAGCTGCATCCTGAACGTCGATCGATTGGATGTGGCTTCACTTTGGGTCAAAATGCGAAAGCCACCAGGAAAAGGTACAAAATGGATGGGTTGTTGCTAATATAATTGATCAACATCGTTTCAAGGTCACAGAACTGGACTCAAACCAAAAAAAACATGAAAAAACTATGGGTCTATGATGGTCTATGATGGTTTATGGCTTCATTGCTCTTCAAAGGTCTGAGCATCCCTGGGTTTCTCCAAGGCCCCGGCCGCGGCGCCCAAATGGAAGAGCCGACGGAAGTAGATACCTCGATTCCGAAGGCATCCAGATTTCTACATCTTGGGCATGGCTCCAAATTTGAAAACCCCACGGTATTCTCATAGTCATCATAGTCTACGGTTTCGAAATGTTAACTAACATCAATGAACATCAATGAACATCAATGAAACTCAATGAACATCACTTTAAGCCTCCAATTTCACTGGCCATATCCTGGGAAAAAAAAACTAGCAGTAGCTGGAGACACGATATGGTGCTGGATTGACATCGTTGCTGGGCTTCCAACTGGGATCTTCCACGATCTTCAAATAACCCTCCTGCTCCTGTGGTTCGTATGGACTTCCCAGGTCATGGATTGCGTGTGATGATGTAATCCACATGTAAGTCTTGCAAGTAATTGCAAAGTAGATGTTAGAAGTTGAAGAAGTCCTATTTGATAAGATTTAGCAACCTACCAACTGGTATTTTGTGCTCTGAAATGGAAGCATGAAAAGTCCTGGCAGGTATCTGGGCAATAGCAGGCTGGCAGAAACACCCATTCGACCTGACAGGCAAATCTCACCTCCAAAACAGCCAATCAGATCCAATCAGTTTCAATCCGTTGGAACATGTCGGGAATCAGTGGCTCAACTGGCTCAATATATCCGTTTCGTGTACAGTGCACTCCCCACGCAACTGATTTTTAGATGAACATCAAAATCCCATGGAACCACCGTTTGTACCTGCGAAAGGCAGGTGCAAAAGTCTGCCCTTTTCTTGAGCCATGTGCTGTCAGAAATCCTTGTGCAGGGGGCCATGCTATGAACGGTCGTCCATGCTGCATGCCAGTCCTACAAGTGACAACACTTCTTGATTTGTGTGTGTCATCCTTTGAAAACGGCACCACACTCCCCCAATGTTGCTGGTGCAACATTTTCGGTGGCCGTAGCAAAATGCCAGACCAAAGCTTCGTTGGCTGGTCTTATAAAAGGAAAAGAGCCATGCTACATGTCCTCCTCTTCATTCTCGGGAGTCTCGGCAGCGTCCTCGTTCCCATCTTCGGACACCAAGGAGTAGTCGTCGGTGATGTTCCCCTCAGACTCCAAGGCCTCCTCTTGAAAGCTCTCAGCTTCCTCCAAGCCCTCCGGGGGTGGGTCCAAACGTCGTTCGGCTTGGTACGGAGTGCCCAGTGCCTTGGCGACCAAGGTGGGCTGTTTCGCCCATGCTCCAGCCACGGACCCCCGCGGGGTAATCAGCCCCGGGTCCCCTCTCGTGGCCCAATCTCCAGGGATCACCGTAGAGCTCGAGGACGCCAAGCCACCTGGGTTCTGCTCAGGCGGTCGCATTGCAATCCGCAAAGAAGCCAGCAGCGGATTTCCACCAGATCGATCTCCAGCTCCAGTTGGAATGACCCCCATAGGTCCTGCTCCCATCGACATAGATCCGGCCGAAGTCATCTGGCCCACATCTCGATCATCAATTGGCCCACCAGTGCCCATCGCAGCTCGTCCACGAGGTCCAGGTCCAGGGCGGCCACGAGGACGGTCTCCTTCAGCTCCTGCAGGCGCCTGATACCGGCCATACTTATGAGTTGGCCTGCAGTACCCCTCAGCCATCGGCTTCGGTGCAGCTCCAGCCCCGGGCGGTGGATCGGCACTCGACATGCCACCCTGCCCTGCACTGCTAGGAGGCGGACCAGTTGGAAGCGATCCCGCCACCCCATGAGGTGGTGGACCTCCTGGCATTGCATGGTGTACTGGAACTGCTGGTGGTTTGGCCATACGGTTCATCCAACCCTGCATATTCTGTCGCTGGAACCAAGCCTGAGGTGGTGGTTTTCTTCCAGGTTGGACCATCCCGTGCTCAAACGGAACCCCTGGGTCAGCCTCCTCTTCTTCGGTGCTTTCTCTGGCCCCAGGTGGTGGGTAAGCACTTGACATGCCACCCTGCTTCATATCGGTGGTAGGTCCTCATAGCTCCAGGTCACCACATCAGGTCGGATCCTGGGCAACCCTGAGCTGTTGGCCCCACTCTGGTCGCCCTCCTTGATCCTGAAGAAGGTGAAGCCCTTCCACTGTCCAACCCCTGGCACAGGCTGGCTTCCAAAACCCCAGTGGTCGCAGTGCACCTGCCGGGTCCAGGGTCACAGTCGTCCTTTCCGGCTCCAAGTCCTCGCACCTCACAGGGGTGCTTGTGTGCACCGGGTGGTACAGCCTGGATCGGAGTCCACCGTGGACCCTGACCCACCACCCACCAGGCAAGCTGCGCCAGCGGTCACTGCTTCCCGTCGGCAAGCTCTGGAACTCTGCGTCATCCCATGGACCGCTCCACGATCCAGCAGCCATGGCCCCACGCACAGCACAAAGGCGAGGCACGATTGGGGAGCCTGTGAGGCTACAGTCGGAAGTAGGTTCAGTAGGGTTAGCAGGGCCTGGTTCATTTTCCCTAGGCCTCTTTTCATGTTCTTGTGCTGGTCTTGATTTGGTTTTTTCTTCAACTGGTTTAGCCATAGATGCCAGCCCTTCATGACAACACATCCACGCCGTGAGAGCCGACAGGCTAACAGCTCCAGCAGTTTTCACCAACTGGTTAGCTCCGTTTTGGAGCACCAATCCTCCAAGAGCAACTACCGCCTCAGCCAGGCGACAAAGCCGTGATGTTTCATCCGGCATGGAAAACTTGGTCAAACCTAAGGTCCTACGGAACGACTCCCAGCTAGTCAGCAGCACCACAGGCTTCGTCAACAGGTCGGCCGCCAGCTCTGCTCCAGGAACATGCTCCACATGCCACTCGCGAGAAGCCAATCGCTCTCGCAGGACGAAGCTTCTCAATCTCAGGTGTCGTGTTCTCCAAGGGCCATCCGGCGCCAGCAGCAATTGGATCCCAGACAGGTTGTCACCTCTGATCTCAAACTGACCATCGTCGATCATGGCGTTGTGCTCCAGGATGTTCAAGATCACCTGAAGCGACTCGCCCATCGTCAGCGCATCCACATATCCAATGAGCTCGGCCTCCGTACTGCCCAGAGCAGCAAAGGGTTGCCTTTTGCTCTCCCATTGGACTAGAGCGCCACCCCACAATGCCAATATGCCTTGGCAACCACGAAGTCCCTGTGGGGCATGTGAAGCATCCGACAGGAGGGTGAGCTTCATCAGCTCATCTGTTGGCTCCCCCTGATCTGTCAAACAGCTCTTGTAAGTCAAGACAAACTCCCAGGTCTCCTGCAGGTAGCCCAGCAAGTAGCGTCCCAGCTCCTGAACCTTTTTGGGGCACTTGGTCACCCAACCGCTCAAGGTCGATACGGCGAAGGCAAGGTCAGGTCTGGTTCGACCACTCAACCAAAGGAGTTCTCCCAGCAACTGCTGGCACCTGCGAACATCCGCAGGGTCAATGTTATCCTCCACATCCGGAGCCATGTCAATCTTCGGAAGTGGAACTTGGCGACCAGGAACTGGACCATGTCGTTCAAGAAGCTCGCGGGCAAAGTCAGGCTGACCCAAGAGCAAGGAGTCTCCCTGCCATCTGAGCTGCATCCCACAGAACTTCAGCCATTTGACCTCGTTGACCCACTCCACCTCCGAGCACGTCCACTCATCCCGGATTCGGCCCAAAGAAGCTTCAACCACATGGCGAGGTCCAGCACAAAGGATGTCATCCACATAGACAATGAGGAAGCCAAGAGGATCCGCATGAGCATCATCGTTGATGACTGCCTCCGGGTAGTTGGTCTTGGAAACCCCCATGATTGACCAGATGTTGGGTTCTGGCGATCTCGCTAAGTGGCACCGGTGAGTTGGAGTCTCCCATCGGAAGGACGACATGCGGCAGTCCCTGAATGATGCCCAATCTGCTGGGGAGGTATCTAAACCATACATGGCCCCGTCACAGATCCAACGTTCCTCCGCAGAGACCAAGCCAGTTGAGGTCAAAAGTCGCGGAGGCTCCACCACCAAAAGCTGCCGTCGGGTCTGTGATCTGGGAGCCAATAGGAATGCCCCTCTCACGTCCGTTGATGCCAAGGACCAAGAAGCCCCTGCTGCCTTCCTCAGGACACACCTCAGAGCCGTAGAGTCAACACCACCCGCATAAAGATCTGCGGCAGCGGCCGGTCCACCACCTCCAGGCCTTTCGGCTCCATCCCCATTCGGGTCCTTCCCATCCCCGAGGTTCTGCACTGCCGGTGATGCTGCTCCATGAGGTCGATGACAACCATGAACTCCACCATCAGGAAGTTGTGAAGGTTTCACATGCCCAGCAGGATGCACCATGTTGCCGCAGATGACGATTCTCGCCTTCCGCTTTCCCGAGGGTGATTTGATTGTCGGGACAATCTTCGCTGGTGCCACCTCCATCCGGTCGTAGCCAGGCTCATGCACCAACTGATCCACCTTCACCCGGCGAATCGTTCCAGAGCTCACCAAAGCCTCCATCTCGGCCTGCAGCGGCTCCTTCCACAAGTTGATGTCCTTCTTGACTTCGGCCAGCGACACTGTATAGGTTTGTAGCACCGCTCGAGCCTGCTCAGGTTTGTCCAGAGGCTCCAGATCATCCACCATAGCATCCATACCCTGGGAGAGTGCTGCAATCCTGCAATTCGCGGTCTCCTGGTTCAAGGTCGAAGTGCTAACCAGCGCCAACTCCTCCTCCAGGCTCTTCACTTGGCCCTCCAAAAACTGCAGCCATTGGCCATGGATCAAACCGATCTCGGCCCCCACAGCTTCTCTAGAGAGTTCCTGTTCCCAAAGTTTTTTCCATCCCCAATGTTCACGATGAGCACTGTCCACCAAGTCCTCAAGGTTGTGGATCTCCACAGACTCCCAAGCCCGTTCGCCTGCAGGACCATGCCCAAATTTAGCATCCATATCGTCGAGGTCCGGCCGCCCATCCAAGCCCGACTGTGAAGACACCCGCAATGATGTAGATCCAGCTCCATGCAAGCCCGATGGTGAAGACACCTGCATTGATGTAGTTCCAGCACCATGCAAGCCCGATGGTGAAGACACCTGCATTGATGTAGTTCCAGCACCATGCAAGCCCGCTGTTGAAGACGCCTGCAAAGCCAGAGATGCTAAGCCCGACTGTGAAGGGGAACTCAATCTCGCAGATTCACCACAAAGGTTGCAGTCTTCGGTATCCGGCTGCAAAAGTCCACAACCATCACATTCTTTCAGTGCCCTTGAAGTTGAGGCTGTTGTGGAAGAAGCTGGCGAATTTGGGGCCCCCATAGCCTCCTTTGAAGCCTTTGAAGTGGGGTTGGACTCCCCCCCTGCCCACATTGTGCGTAGGGCAGGTTCCGCATCCACACTTCCACCTTCGCCCCCATCTTGAAGTTGGTCTCCAGGAGGATCATCAGGAAACTCATCCGGAGAATAGCCCAAGCTGAGCACGTCCTCCCCCAGATCTGCGATTCCAGCCTCCCCCCAAACATCATGGGAGTCATCCAAAGCCAGATCTTCTCGCAGAAGTTGAGGTAGATCATCATGCTGAAGAGGTTGAGGAACCTTCCGGTCTTCCAAATAGGGAGGCTGTTTCCCTGTCACCCTTCTGGTGGAAGCATCATAGAGC